GGAAAGCGTCAGGAAGTTCATGTCAGGTTTTACGTGCGAACGTAGAAACATTTTGGACAAAAATGACCTTAGAAGCGGATAAGGAGTGTTTTTATGTGGCCCGTTCACATGCATTACGTACACTGGAGCTGGCAAACAGTGGCGGGGCTCAACTTTTCACGAGTGCCCTTTCTGCACTATTGATGGGGCTTGACTTCTCAGGTGTACCCTTTTTGCCTTAGTGGCGGGGCTTAACTTTTTGTGCGTGCTCTTTTGCATTAGTGGCGAGGCTTAACTGGAAAAGATCCCAGTTTACTACAAAGTCACAGTGCAAATTCACGTCTTCTCTACTGAAGTCTTTCTACTACCTCTATTTCTGGATGAAACGGAGATCAAGATAAGAATTGGGCACCGCATATTGTTTATGTGTCGTGCAATCTTCATTTGACGCACTGCTTCAATGGGAAAGACCAGAGGCCTTTTGCAATCCGCCTGGTGTGGAGGGAGCCGAAGGATCATACAACAGACTGCCACTTCTGCCTAAACAGTGACATTGGAATCTCCAGATGAAACAAGGCCAAAATTTATTACGCCGATCTACCATCAGTTATTCGACCTGTTTCTCATGATTTCACCTTACGCATTCCAATGCCTCTAGTGAACATGTCACTGATGATGTGTGTGATTCTGCATCCTCAACTTTCCCTGATTCCTACATCTGTGAAAACATTACTGATTTTTTCAACCCACATCTTATTGAACAATCAGAGCTGAATGACTTGGTACGCGACCTGTGCTTGCCTAAAGACAAGGTCGAACTGTTGGAATGTCAGCAGCAGCAGTGGCACTTATTTGTGGCAAACACTAATGTTGCTGTATACAGCAGGTCTAGTGTTAACTTGTCTGGTTTCTAGGACACGAATGAAACCCTTTGTTGCTGTTCCGATGTGGAAGGACTGTTGAAACAGTTTGGTTTGAGGCATAGCAGTGATAAATGGCGTTTATTCATTGAGTCGTGCAAGAGTTGTCTTAAGGCCATACTGCTCCGCAATGGAAATGTGGACCCAACAGTGCCTCTGTTGCGTGCCACTATTATGAAAGAGACTTACACAAGTATGCAACCGATACTAGCTGCACTGAACTACGAGAAGTACTGTTGGAGCATCTGTGCTGACTTCAAATTCATTGGACACCTACTGGGTATCCAAGGATACATCGCACACTATTGCTGTTTCTTCTGCTTATGGGACAGCAGAGTAACTCAACAGCACTACACAACAGGAAAGTGGCCAGAGAGGACGGTGTACGCTGCGAGGGAAATGAGTGTAAAGCATACACTTATTGTGCAACCTGATCATAACTATGTATCACCCCTACACATTAAGCTTGGTTTGCTTTAAACCTCCGTTAAAGCCCACAAGCAAGATGATTTTCTCTTTCCAGTATCTGAACCAAGTAGTTCCGAAGATCAGTGAGGCGAGGCTCAAAGAAAGGCTACTTGCTGGGTCTGATATTCGCCGGATAATGACAGACAGTGTTGTCGAATGCCAGTTGATTTCATTTGATTTAGAAGCGTGGAGATCATTCAAGGCAGTGTGTACATAACTTTTGGGCAGAACAAAGGCAGAGAACTACAAAGACATCACAAGAAACCTCATTGCGGACCATCGGGATGTTGGTGCTCGAATGTCAGTCAAGATGCACTTTTTTGCATTAACGCCTTGACTTTTTCCATGAGAACTTGGAATCTGTTAGCGATGAGCAAGGTGAACGCGTTCACCATGACACTTCAGTCATGGAACAGCGCTACAATGGCAAGTACACGCCTTTTATGATGGGTGACTTCTGCTGGTTTCTGCATCGTGAAGGCGCTGGATCATACAAGCGATGATCTCGGCGAAGTCATCATTTCCCAGTGCTAAACTGCAGTCAGTAGTTAGTGGCTAGTGTGGCAGTGATGTTTTAAACCTATTCGCCTCATAGATGCATGCTGTATACATTTCGATTCAGTATATTTACATACACATCGTACGACGTAGCCTTGACATTACTGAAAATAATCATTTGCTTATAACAATGTAACCCGACGTGCTAGGTACCGTCGAAACATTTCTACAATCAGTGAAGTGGTTATAGAAGGTAGAGACATTGGCATTTCTGTTATAGAAAATACATATTTTTGTTGCACTCTGTTATCTAAGCTTCCGTTCGATTTACCAACTTAGAACACTAAGGCGGCTGATGTGGTACCTACACCACATCATCGTTACTGTTGGTCTTTAAGTGTACCTGTTTGTTGAGTTGCTTGCATTTCAGGGGTTGGTTGTTGTTTGACATCCCCGGTGTGGCTGCGCTTGATGTGCATCTTGACAAGGTGCCTACCTGTCTATTACCCAGCACCTCGTCTATACTGGCTCCAGGAGACAGTTGGTCGTTGTTGGAGGGGACGGGCTGCACGGTCCTTGTGGCCATGCTAGGCTCGAAGTGTTGTTCCATACATCCAGCGTGGAGCGGACTACTGCCCAGTCACCGCCTTGTGTATGTCTGGTCTGCATGCTTTCTCCCTTAAGCATGAATGCTACTGCCATATACGTTGTAGGAGTGTGGACCGGCTCCGATTATGAAATGTGCCACCCATGCACAGGTCTCCCAGTCTTATTTCGACGGCGTTACAAGGGATATACGGAGTACAGCTGGATCTGTGTGTGGTGCAGCACAAGCCACCCATGGTCTCTCTGTAGGTACAGGCGTCCTGTAGCGGTCCTATGAAGGCCGCAGTGACATACGGCCCATATATATATATATATATATATATATATATATATATATATATATATATATAATATATATATATATATATATATATATATATATATATATATATATATATATATATATATATATATATATATATATATAGTGTTCAGCGTAAAAGCGGACTTTTTTAATAGCGAACCAACCAGCAGAGGTAGCGCGCTACGGATACTGCGCGAACGCAGCAGCGCATAGACAACAAATTGTCATTTGCCGCGTTTCGCCCTGACTATCAGATGGGGAACAGCAGCCACTGAAGTGAGCCCTTGCGCAAGCTGATCCTCGGATCAGTCTCAAGGGATCAATGTAAGATCTCGAAGAACATTGTGGGTGTATGGATTCTTGCTCTGAATTTGTTAAAACACTTACAGAAACATTTCAGTTGATCAAGCAATTACACGTTGTAGGGGTTTATGTCTCACGCAGTGATGAGTAGTTTAAGCGTTTGAACCGCCGTAGGATGTCGGTCGGTGTGGACCCAAAATTTGAGCGACATTCAATATCAATAGACGATTACCATACCGGGAGGGTTCGTGTGTGACCCATAGAAATTGTTGTCAAACTGTTCGAATAGTTGCTGACGAAGTAAATAACAGTTAGGATCATGCTATCCACATTTGGGTAACAAACCTGAGATGCGTCGTGTCAGTGTGGTGTTAGTTGTTGTATTATGACAATGCTCTGGCTCACGAATCGCTCGCTATCCGCAGCTATCTAGCAAAACTTCAAATTCCCACTCTGCTCCATCCATCGTATCATCCGGACCTAGCCCCAGCAGACCTGTTCCTGTTTCCTTTCTTTAAAATCATGCTGAAAGGGGTTGTTTCCAAAACCTAGAGGAGTTTAAGGACAATACGACAAAAAACCTCTCAGCCACCCCAGAAAATGCGTTCCAAGCAACTTTCCGAAAATGTAAGCACTGTTGAGAAAGGTGCACTGCCAGTAGAGGGGATTACTTTGCAGGGGAAAGTGCTTGAAATGTTGTACAGTGAGAAATAAAGACGTTATGGCGAAAGTTCGCTTTATTTTTGGACACGGTAGTATATATAGCGTGTCCAAGGATATTTACGAGCGTTGTAGCTATCGGTCTAAAGACTGTTAATCTCCACTCGTAAGTTCGATGAGCATTCAACCCGCACTCCGCTGAACCATTTGATTTCAGTTTTGATAAACAGTATTTTAAAGTAACGCATTCTCATCTAAAGTAACGACCACCGGAAGACATGCCGAGTGTTCTATGCTTTCATTTTTCATTCTTGTTCCACTGAGCGTATGTCTGTTCCCTAAAGTGCATATTGCAATAATTTTATTTCTGCGTGTCAGTTCATTTACTACGGAAGAGGGTTGGCCAGGTTCTTCAGTATACAACGCTTTTGTTTTTATATCTCATTTTACGTACTACGCTATTGTTACTTACCATGATTTCACCATATTCCTCGGTAGTAGTTTCCCTGATATCCTAGTCACGCGGTTTAGATTACTCCTGTTTATCTGTTCAAGTTTAACATACGTGACAAAAACCGAGTGCTTGCTGGCTATACATCCCATCATGAATATTCCTCGAAGTAAGCGATCTGTTCTCACTTGGAACAGGCTGTTTTCAAATACCGATCTGTTAACACACAACTTTATTCCGCGAATCATTCTGTAATTTTACGAAGTTCAACCATGGGGCCCTAAAGCTTCATTCGCTGTTGTACACAAAATCCACAGCTACTGTTAATTAATAATTACTCGTTACTAATTATCCTGGCCACTATTTTAACTAGTTACAAGTATCGTCTACGAGCTCGCCAGCACCGGGATCAGTGTTGATAATGCGATCCAACCCACATATTCTGGTTAAACTCTGAATTTTCTGGCAGGATGTCCAGTCCCGCAATCTCGAAGATTATTACAAAGTTCAAATGGTGTCAGCGATTCTCAGTGTTATTACCTAGTTTTACTGTGATCTAACTCACGCCAGAGCCTTACAGTAATGTGGAATTCACTTTTCCTTCTCATCGTTGTATATCTTTAGTGAGCTCTTTATAAATCATTTGTATACCGTAAAAATCCTAAATGATCCTACCGTGAACAAATATGAGTTGAATAATGAGCTATATGCTTTCACAGTGCATCATGAAGACTACTCAGCAATGTGCAATACACGTCCTTTTCCTAAGTGGAAATTCTACTCTGTTCCCCCAACCTACTTGCACATTCAGGGCACGGAGTCTCAGAAGTGGATAAATCTCTGTCGAGACGAGACAAGAACGCGGTGGACTTTGTCTTCAATTATAGCAAACTGTGGTGTAAGACATGCAAGGACGTTGTAATCTGCTTGGAGAAGCGCGCCTATGCGGGTGAGTTTTTGTTTGTTTTCGGAGACATTTTTGGCGCCGTGAACGTGTCACGCTTTTTGCAGAGAAAGGTTTTAAATTTCCAGTGCAAACCATTCTAGCGTTTTGCGCAACAGAGGCGATATTAAATCTTGGCGCAGCGAATTACCGATTGGCAGTGAGCGCACGGTAAAAGACCATTGAAAGCAGCCGGCTACAAAAGGCTTAAATCGATAGTTTCTGATGGGCCACAATTGAAAACTTCCAAAATGCAAATCATACATGATGGTCCACCTATACAAGTTGCACAGACTAGTTTCTTCTTCGTTTTAAAACAATGTCACTCGAAGTACGCATACGAAAATGTCCCAACTTGATCCAAAATTATCCTATTTTTTGGGCGAACACGCAGCAATATCACTATGGAACAAGCACCTTCAAGATGGGTTGCAAGTTACTTTCAACTAGAGCCATTATCTCACTGCGAACTAGATGCCCAATGCGTGTTGATCTCCCGCGCTCTCCCTAGATCCAGATAATTAAGGTTAGGAGCGGGATTTTGGATGCGAAAGTTAACATCGGGAACCTTTTCATCGACGCGATAGCATCGCCCATAATATTAGTTAAGCGTTCTTGCAGCAGCTCAGAGTGCTCACCATGTGATCAACTAACTGAAGGCAGCTACACCACGGATAGCGGTCTAGTCTGAGTCGAACCTCGGTCGTTCCTGTGTCACTGTAATGGCACCCGAAGTAGGTAAATTGTTCGGTTTTGCCAGTTTCACTCCCATCTGAAACCTTTGTTGAGGCAATGATTTGCCCAGGTTTCATCAGGTATGATAGACTAAGGGTAAAGTTATCAACAGATGGCCTCTGGGTGTTGTTCGGATAACTGTATCTGATACAAGGATGAAGAAGTATGAACGAAACCAGCTCCTGTGATCTGTTTTCAGCAATAATCACTGACCATAGCCCCAATATCCCAGTGATCGGAATGACCAAGTCTTACCCCTAAGAGCGATCTCTACCCGATATGTTACTGGCTTTTTTGATTCATTCATTTGACGGATGTCTAAACAATGACATACGCTTCTCGTGGTTTCTAGTAAACCAATGGAAAACTGTCTATTAAATTCTTCCAGACCCATGACTTATCCCTGCTTTCTTCATCCCGATTCTCCAACGGGACAATGGACGCGAGAATAATACGCTCAGTCCCTGTTACTGGGAACAATTACGATTATCTGGCTATGTTAGATTAACGGAACACCATCCAACTGCACTTCTCGACCAGTGTCCAGTTTCGAATCGGTGTGTTGGTAGTCTAACTTTTCGTTGTGTGTTGTGCATATGGATAACGGCATCCTGGGCGAACTAGAGGCCCAATTGGAAGACCAAGCATTCGATCTGGACCTCTGTGAACGCTCTTAGTTGTAACCATTCCCATTCCCGATTGACGATGCCCAAATCCGTGATCAAGTTGTCGACCTCACGTTTGACCAACTGGAGGCTTAGGAACAGAGTGTCAAGCAGTGACCTCTGTTCACCAAATATCGGTAAAGTTTACGTCTCGGGGGGCCATTGGCAAAATGAAGTTGTTAGCGTTGATGCTTGACAGGGCTCAGTTTTCGACAAAGCAACTTGAACTTCCGTGTGCTGTCCTGGCAAGCCAGACAACCGTGAACAGGTCCTCATACCGCGTTATTGGGGACAATCTTCGCGTGCGTGCGTGGAATGCTGGTCGGGAGATGACTATGTTAACATACAGTCTTCAGTCATCCTTTATGCCAACTGATAGGCTGAATGTACAGGTTTTACGTCTTGTGTGTCTGTCCAATGCAGCCAACATACCAAGCGGTCAACTCACGTAATTTACGGGTAAATTCGTTTCTTTACGACTAGTGTCCATCTATCATTATCGTAGCACTCTTAAGATTTGTGAAGGGTGGGTAGTAGACTGGTTATGAGTCACCAACTTCACCTCTGAGCTGGTTTTGTCCAAAAGAATACGATTGATTCTTGTGATCAATGTTCACTTGCATTCCACTGCAGATGCGCTCACTGCGATGGCTAGCAACCAGAAGTGCACCGCTCTCTTCTAAAGACACAGGCGACCTATCAAAATTTCGGGGACATTTCAGGTCACCACATTCTATGCGCATACGTCTACATAAGTTCAACAGCTTGAACGTAGTCCATGACACTATCTGTTTAGGTCAGTCGTACTGAGGCCGGCCACATGTAGTTAAAATTCTCCAGATCAGTGTCCATGCGAAAGGAGCAGACCTCATTCTTTTTACTTTTCCAACGGGATCTAGCAGTACAGTCCCTGTTCTAATTACGCGGGTGGGGCATGATGTTGTCCGGAGACAACGGCCTCCAGTATGTTTGTCTTATCGACGTTTTCATTTAACTAAACAATTTTCTATTTTATCCACACATAGAAACATTTTATCTTACGGCATAAGCTACCCCAACTATCCGTTTCTATTGCATTCATGCATTACTTCGTACTGATCTGATTGAGTGTACTAAGTGCACCTGGTATCATTGAGCTATATTCCCGCAGTTGGTGCACCGCGTATGTTTCTATGGTTCAATACGAGTCACCAGACCTACAGGCAGCACATCACAGTTGTCATGCTTGAGTTGAAGGATGTGTTCGCTTACATGGACCGCCCTTCTTGTGTCAGTAACAATCTTTGAGAAGTCGTCTTAACAATTTCGCCAAATTCTAAAATTCTTAGATCACAGCCACCACGTCGTGTAGGGATGGAGGAACCACTTTCTCGAGTTCACTTCGATATGTGAAGCTGACCTATCTTTCCGTTTAATTCTACGTTGATACTCCAAATAACAAAATCCGACTCCTTTCGGCACACCATCGCTAAGCCTAAAGTGCATACGTTTGGAAGTGATCGGCTACCAAATCCGAATATGTAGCTGACGGAGTTATGTTCGAATCGGAGCCAAATGATAGGTGATTACGACTAAATGAGCATGTACTGTCCATCATCACATATCCTAATTGTAAACTACTGTTAGTGAACTGGAGCTGCTCTCCTCCGGTTTTCACCATCATCGGACAGATGCACCGATGTATCGATCGCTTCATTCTTCCGGGTAGATGTACCATCTTTGACGGCCATATCACCAGAAAGGTTCCCGCATGCCCTCCTAAGGTGCAGAGGGATTTTTATTGCTTTATCCTCTAATGGACACTGGTGATGTAAGCTTACATGATTTAGGGAAGGATTTACAACAAAATCCTTAGCATTACCGTTTGCAAAAGGTGAGCAACATCTCATCTATTGGGGTGCAATACGAGTAACTAAGGTACATGAGAAACGCGAGACACTAAACGTCCCAGAATGCAAAATACAAGCATAAGTGAGTAATATTTGGCTAAGTTTCATACAACTTTTCGAATTTAAGTTCGTGGCTACAAGAAGAAGCTAAGTGAGCAGCTGAGAGGCAAAGAAACTCATATCACATACGCCATTGAAGTGGACACCTGATTCTGTCAACAAGTGTAGCCAACCAAACGTGTTCATCGTCTTACGGACCCCAGCACGGTAATTTGGAGTCACCAAGCAACCCCAAATCCGAAGCCAGGGTCTTCAATCCTCCCGACTGAGTCATCACTTGGCATCCTCTCCACTTCTTCCATTCACACTACCAGTGTGTAAATCAACGCAAGTCGCGGTCAGCAGGAGACAGACTACCTTTGAACACTGCCGCCAGTGTGTTGCCGATACATGGTTGGAGAAGCAAGTAACTAATACGGAGCTGTGTCATTTAGGGCTTAACAACAGACGCACAGTTGCATCACTGGAGTGCCTGTTGAACCTGGGGCGGCGTATCCCTTCGAGAGACAAAACCAGATTGAGAGATCCAGCAAACTCTGCTGTTCGTGAAGCGTAGAGTGATTCGCACTGCGCGAAACTCGATAACGCCATTCCATTGCGGCTACTTCTACCTGGTTATTACTAATTGTCGCGCCTTTTGCCATCTCCGTACGCTTGTTGGCTCTCACGCGTTGTCTATACTCTGAGCCCGATCCAAACCACTCCTACACTGTCTGGAGCCAGTTTGAACTAGTTCCCTGCTTGGCCCCGCCAATGTTTCGCCATCAGACTGGCCCACGCTATTGTGGTCAAGTCGCTTGGGCTGCACCTGATTTGTTCTCCGTTCACCAGTTACTCGTCGCCTCAGTTTGTCTCGTGGGCTGGCAGTCGTTGTATTCAACGCCGTTGATCTAGGTTCGTTGCTGCACGCATGTTGGTCACCTGATATCACTCAGGCACACTCCTCCCTACTTTCTGTAGCCAAGCTGGTATTCTTTTATTCTAAGTTGCACTAAATTTGCCTCGTCACTTGACATGTGGTCGTGGTTATTACAATTCGCTGGACGGTTAAATTACTTACCATTGGCCTATGCCCTCTCTGTCACGTTAACCCAAACTAACAGACAGAATCACAAGCAGGATTCATTGGCTGGTCTGGTCAGCTGCTCTACACCTGTATGCTTTCTGGCCCAGCATGTAATGTAGTATGAAAGTGTAAGTTTGGCAACCAGTGACAGAGCAAAATCGGATAAAAATCATACCAGAAATCTGGGCGCGGCTGATGTATGCCGTCTTCCCGGATATAGCCCTACGGCATGGGATCAACGGTTGGACACCCGAAGAGCTGCAGTAGCGTTTGGTCAATGTCTTCTGTATACTGGTTGACTAAATTCTGATTCAGCAAAGCAGAAAGAAGACATCGATTGCGATAGGTCAACATTTCGATTGTTCTCATCAGTCGCATACACAACACCAGCAGAAACACAGACACAAAGAAATCCATGGGAAAAAAGTGACACACCAATTAAACTGTCAAAATCAAGACCAAGGCAAGCTGCTTGATTGCCTCAAAAGCTTCTGTGCACATAGCCCAGGTTGAGAAGCGCTAATTAGAAACGCTTCACTGGTTGCCAAAATTATCAGGTTCCTGTTACATAATAACACAGTGAACGCATTA